GGCGGCGAGAGGCAGGGGTTCATAGTTTTATTCCCCCGCTCCCCCTCCAGCGTTAGAGTTGTAGTCGGAGTGAGCATAGCAGTGGTGAGAATGGGCGCTTTGGAAAGGAGGTTTTAGGCAGCCTTTGAGCTCTGGCAACATTTATTTACAAGGAGAGGTGGTGTGGCTGCAAGACTTGGCTCTTGCCATATGGCTCAGAAAAGCCCAGCCCCTGCACTCCCTTCTCCAAGGAGAAATCTCATGGTTCACAGTTGCCTGGAGCAGGTCTTGGGTGCGGGGTCTGCCCCTAAGGTTTAGTGAGCTGGGGGCTGAGTGGGCATCACACTCAGCCGTCTGCTGGTGGACACTTGCTGGCAGGCTGTCCAGAAATGAAAAGGCAGTAGAATGGAGGCAAGCTATTTGACCGGCCCCTCTGTGGTTAGAAGCACTGGAGGAGGCTTGTGCTTGGAGACACAAACGTGTAGTTTCTGTCACTGATTGGCCCAGTTTCATATCTGTGTGGACAATATGCAAATTGTGCATGTGCTTGTGCTACACAGGGAAACTAGGTGCAATGACAGGCCTGAGAGGTCATTTGGTCACTGCCAGGGCAGGTATTCCCTGCCAGGGGGTGTCCAGCATAACGCCACTAGCAAAACGATGCTCACTGTTTCATGCAACGCTTTCTGAACGGGTCTAGTAACTTTTAACTGGATAAAGAGTAAACTTTAAGTTTGGAAGTTGATGGAGGCTGTTGACTGTGTCCTTTGATGTATGTACCTTGGTTATAGCTGTTGACCACTTGTGTGATTTTGCCCTGTGTGGGTCTTACTTTTTTTATGTTTATGAGGGTTTGAACTGAATGATTCCTAAGGACAATGATGTTCACCTCTGATACTGATTCTATGAACTCTTCAATCTATATTTGTCTTCTCCTTGCATTCAATGAGTGATAATATTGTTAAAGGTTACTAGGCCCATCCAGTATGCCAAGAGTGGCACTTGCTCGGTGGCTGCTGTCTCTTATTGGAAGGGAGAAGACGCAGGTGCAGCATGCACTTCACCTGTTCTCACTGTGGGATGGCTTCAGATCTAACCCTGCCTCTCCACCATCACCCCTGCATGGCCAGTTCACAGTCTGAGGATTGTCCAGTAGTTGTCTGGCAATTGTTGGGCACTTGCTGAGTCAGACACTTTATTAACCACTTTAGATGTGATACCTCATTGAATCCTTACCACAACCCTGTGAGATAGGTCCTGTTATCCCCCTTTTAGAGATGAAGACACATCCTCAGGGAGTAAAGTAACCTGTCCAGGGTCACATGGCTACTGAGTGGCAGTGTCCTGAAAAAGTGACTTGCTCCATGTCTTGTGTTAAGTACTGAACAAGGATAAAGAAGCAGCAGCATTGAGTTGCCTTGAGACAGTTTTCTTGGGCATCCCTTTCTGTTCATCTTCCTCCTCTCCTGGGATGTGATCATTCATGCTGCGGAATAGCACAGTGGTTGAGTGTGTGGGCACTAGAGCCAGCAGCCCCAGCTCTACCATTTTCTCCTTGTACAGTTTATGTAACTGTGGAGCCTCAGTTTCTTCTTTTGTAAAATGGGAAGGATTAGGCTCATTGCACTCTTGCCAAGCAAATCCTTGGGAGTCAGGCGAACATGGATTCAGATCTTAGCCCTGTCACTTTCAAGCAGTGTGACCTTGACTTTTGCTCAGCTTCCATAAAATGGGAAGCGTTACAGCACCTGCCTTAGGAAGTTGTGCAGATTAAATGTCAGAAATGTTTGTAGGGTCTGATCACAGTGCCTTGTTGGCAGTTAGTAAGTGGTGGTTGCCCCTCTGGTAACAGACTTTCTGTGGTTGTCAGGTCATCACTGGAGGCCACTACGATGTTGACTGCTATGTGGAGGACCCTCTGGGGAACACCATCTACAGGGAAACCAAGAAGCAGTACGACAGCTTCACGTACCGGGCTGAGGTCAAGGGCGTTTATCAGTTTTGCTTCAGTAATGAGTTTTCCACCTTCTCTCACAAGACCGTCTACTTTGACTTTCAAGTGGGCGACGAGCCCCCCATTCTCCCAGACATGGGGAACAGGGTCACTGCTCTCACCCAGGTGAGTAGACATTAGTAGTGACAGTGTTTTCCTCCCCCTCGGTTCCTGTATCAGTGGATGAGCAGGGCTGTTGTCCATCCAGCTCCCTGCCTGGAAGTCTCAGCGTTGCTTTCTTTGCCTCTTTCTTCACATCCAGTCCTGGAGAATGCTGTGTTCTCCTTCCGATCTTCCTTTCTGTTCTTTAACCAGATCCCTGCAGTACTTTCGTCCGACATTCCTGCCTTAAATCTTCAGTCCCACTCATCTTTCACACAGTACCACTTTCCAAGTACTCTGTCACGTGCCTCTCTCAAAGTCCTACTTGTGTGGTACACAAGGTGCTGTAACAAACTCCAGCTATCAATCACTTAACACAATTGAAGCTTATTCTCATAATAATACAGAGAAGACTGGTGGGGAGCCTTCCTCCGTAGTGTGACTCAGGAGTCCAGGCTCTCCCTTTCTTGTCATCTTTCTGCCTTCCCGTAGGGCTTCAGAGTCCTCTGCCTCTAGCCACCAAAACAAGGAGAGAACGAGAAGACCCACTTGCTTCCTAAAAGCCCTTGCCTGGTAGTCACACACGTCACTTCTGCTCATGTCCCACTAGTGACAACTTGTTATGTGGCAAATCTGGATGAAGGAGGGCTGGCAAATATAGTCCTGGTTGGGTGGTTGCCTCTTAGCAACAACTCCGCACTGTGGAAGAGAAACTGTGGTATTTTGGGAGGACAGATAATCATCCCTGTCACCATGGCTCTCAAGGTTAGTCATAACTGATCCCAGCTGCCTTCATGGGTCTTCTCTCCTGCTATTTAAGCTTCTCCTTCCCTCCCATGTGCAGGCTGAGCCTCCTGAGGGCCAGGACTCTGTATTATTTACCTCTATCCTCCGTGCCCCAGTGCATGAGGCGTGGCATAGAAAGGAGCTCACCAAGTATTTGTCAGGTGACTGAGTGTCAGTGCCCAGGGAAACCTGTAAGACAGGAACAGCCACTTGTTTCAGACCAAAGCCAGAGCATCTTGAGTCTTCAGGGAGGCCAGTTTACCTTCTAGGTTGCCCTCCGAGGTGGCTCCATTCCTCTGTACACACTCATGAAATCCTGTGGGTTCTTTTGCCCAGTTGTCTACTTTCCCTGATCAGTTGGAGGTTAGAGCTGCATTATCCAGTATAGTAGCCACTATCTATGTTTGGCTATTTAAATTAAATTAATGAAAATTAAATTTAAAATTTACTTCCTCATTTGCCTTATAGCAACATTTCCAGTACTCAGTAGTCACAGGTGTCATGCATAGAAAGTTCCACTGGACACTATTGGGCTTGAGCTTAGCAGTGTGACTGCTGTTAGAAGGTCCAGCTGAGGATGTGTATTGCGTGTAAGACCTTTTGTAATTGATACTCTTGAGAGTTCTGTTGGTCACTGATGAAACAGCCTCCATTCGGAAGATTTTGTAAGTCTCCGAAAAATGAGCTGAAAGACTTCCCTCTTTAACCAGTGGAAAACAAATTTGTAGAAAAAAGGCATAATGAAGTAGGTTGGTAGAGAAATTCTTTCCTGGAGTTTGATTTTGTTGCCGGAAAAAAGTGATTTTTGCTTCCCTTGTGTATCTCAGAACTTTGTCTTTGCTCCTGCCCAGGCTCAAAAGAGGTGATTCTTTCCACTTCTGTAGCTCTGACCCCTCCACCTTGAACCAGAGTCCGTGTGTGTCTGATTCCGAGAGCTCGTGGGTATTCACTGAATCTGCGCACTATGCCACAGGGAGGTACCAGCATGGATGGTGCTGTCCCTGGTGTTGGGAGCACTGCAAGGGCTGTGGCCCTGTAACAGTTAGTTAGACACAGGGCATGTGGTCAGAGCTGTGATTGATGGGCTCAGAGGCTCAGAGGAAGGACCAGTGAATTCTTCCAGACTGTCAGGAAGGCTTCATTGGGAGAGCTTTAGCTTAGAAGTGAGAATGTGAGAGGTTGCCGAGGAGCTGGTCTGGCACTGGAGGAGGAAGGGCCTCCCAGATGAAGAGACGAGCAGTGAAATTTACCGGGTGTAATTTTTATTCCTCTCACCAGCCCTTTTTTATTTGCTTGGCATGGACCCCCTTTTAGCCAGCACTGCCATCTCACTTCCCCCCAGACTTCTTGCAGCACAGTGCTGGGCTAGAGGCCATGTTTCCTGGCAGCAAAGGGTGAAAGAACAGGATCCATAGTGACCAGAGCTCAGGCCAGGGATTTGGGCTGGAAGGACTTGTCTCAGGCCTGAGTTCTGGATGACCAGTCTCCAAGGAGGGGACATGGGCCAGGAGAATGCTACTTCAAGGAAGTCAAACGTGAAGTGTTCCAGGCTTCCTGAGAATTCGGGCAGATTCCAGGGGAGTCTGTAGGTTTCTGATGGAGGTCAAAGGTCAAGGGCTGCCTCTGCGGTGGTCTGGGAAGGACTAAACGTTTTCTTAACACTGCTCTGAGGCCAGCTCATGCTTTCCTGCCATTGTGTTCTTGAAGAATTTATTTTGAGAACCAAGTATTTCTGTCAGGGGAGGCCTGATGAGGCGAAGGCTGGAGGAATTTGTTGGTGGTTACAGCCTGCAGACCTCAGCGTCAGCAGGTGCTAGAGACAGGAGGGATGTCAGTGTGGGAAAGGAAGACAGGGAAGGGGTGGTGCTGGAAGGGAGATGGGTTAGGGTGTCTCCAGAGACACCTTGTCACGATGGAGCAGTGACCAGGATCCCTGTGAGGCTCCAGGCTGATGGCAGGGTGGAAGGCCATGCACCAGGAGAGCTGGGGACTCAGGGCACTGGGAAAACAGATCTCTCTGAAGCAGAAGGTTCTGTGGGTTTCCTGCTGGGTGGGAAGCAGTCTGGAGGGGTTGTCTAACTGAAATTTTGTGGTAACAGGCTGAAGAGGTTTCTTTCAGACTAGCAGTAACAGACAATCCCAGTGGATGGGAAAATAGCATGTTCTGGTGAAGGGTGCTTTCAAGTATCTGTGATTCTTGGCGATGTGTTGCTTAGGGGTCTCTTGTGGGGCCTATGCCTGGTCCTAAAGGTGATTGCAGGTTTTAGACGCCAAGAAAGCTGTAGATTGTCACCTGTTGCCTCACCACCCTTTGGGAACTGGCTCCTTCCTATCACAGATCTGATCTGAGATTGTTCCTGTAAAGGCCCTGGGGCCCTCTTCCCCGTGCCAGTGTCTGGCCTGTGGCATCAGATTCAGGCCTTTACAGTGGTGCCTTGCATAGGTATCTGACATACCCTCTGTCTGGGGGTCTGCACCTGTAACTTCTGCATCCGCCTTCTTTTTCTCTTCCTCCTCCCTCCCTCCTTGCTCTTCAGTGATTCTGGATCCTGGGAGAAGGCTGAAGATGCCGACCATACTGCTGAATTCCCAGGCTCCCGTTCAAGTGAGGCCATTGTACACTTTGAGTTTCTGAATGAGCTTGTGATAGAAATAAACTTGAACAATAGAACTCTAGCCCGGAAAGCCAAATTAGCCTTTTCCTAGTGTTTAAAAACAAAGTCTATGTGGATTTATACTTGTATATGTAACACACATGTACACACACATATACGCCACTTACAACCATGACACATACATACATACACGTATATGTGCATCTCCATCCCTCCCACTGATTGCAAGAATGATCTACTTTGTTACCAAACCTTCCGATTTCAGGGCCCTAAATCTCCTCCAAATCCATCTTCCCTGACTTGGTGACCTCCTTAATCGAGGCCTTCATCTTCGCTTGCTTGCAGAATTGCAGCCACCTGAATGGTTTCCCTGCCTCCAGACTGGTTCTCCTTTCTACATCATGGCTGCCAGAGGCAGAACCTCTTAAAGTGG